CACAACCCTGCCCTGAATAAGCGGAAGAAGATGTATGTATGGATGGACTTCATTCAAAAGTGGTTAGAAAACATTTTATGAAATTCACTTTCAGCGTTTTAATATGAAATAAGATTAGATAACACCTAAATACACACATTAAAAGTAAAGCTTGAAACAGAAAAACAACCAACCAATATTAAAATGATCTCATTTTATATCTAAAAGATTTTTTGTATAAAACCAGAAAGGATGAAATACTGTTGATATGCTGCTGTTGTTGATCAGTGGAGTCTGAGAGAATCAGGAAATTTTGCAACGTTTACAGTTTATTGCTTTTAGTTTATTGCAGCATCATTTTTATCTTTATCATAATGTAACATCACTCATCAGATTTAAGAAATAACTTGTTATTGTTCTAAATATTTATTGATGGTTTCTTTTATTAATTTTCTTTTTTCCTTTGTTTTTCTTTTTGACACTGCATGTATTTGTCTGAAGGTTAGTTTCTTATGTGTCTTTATGTTTTATTTGTTTGTTTGTTTGTTTGTTTGTTTCCTTTGCTCTGTTGTCCATATTGTAGTGAGCTCTGCTGCTGTTGTAACCACAGTTTGATGAAAATACGTTCTCTGGATGATGACTTTCTAACATATGAAAGGGAAAATCAATCAGCATTCCTGTAAGAAAAAAACTAAAGGCCATGTTCTTTTATTTAACTTTGGACACATTATAAATGCTTTGCTTCTGGAAACGAATCTAAAATCGGAAGCTTGTTTAGAATCACAGTTTGGTGCTTCACTACTAAGTATCTGATTGTCGCCCCCTGGTGCTTCGGCGGCTGAGTGTACCCATTTCTTGTGCTACGGGATGTGGAGCGTCTCTCCTACATCGGCTCTGGCAAAACTGAGCAACTTCTTCCTTCATTTCCTGGAAGGAGGAGCCATACACGAAGCAGCAGAAACCCGCCGGCTACAGAGGGCTGCTAGCGGGCAAACGGCACCGTGATTCCGACCGTTAATTGGGAGTTAAGAGCCTAACTCGGATGCCTCTATGATCCAGCTAACCGTACAGCGAGATATACAGAGTTCAGTTTGCACAAGGTAAGGCGTTTGGGGGCACTAAATTAGCTAGCGTGAGGTTAGCTAACCGTGGGTAGGTGTCACGGTCACGTACACCAAACCCCATTCAAAAATCTGTCAATTTAAGGTTCGCCCTAGTCTGTTAACCCCACCATGAAGCTCATCTATAACGAGTTAGTTTAGTCGGCAGCGAGATATATTTCGATGCCGACTGATTGAAAATTTGAGAATTTGCTCTGCAGTCGAAATAAACCCTGTTTGTTTGTTTTTTTACTAAAAAAAAAGTGCAATCAAAATAAAGTCTAGTGGAAATTCTCCTAATATTAAATTTGATTTTACCATTTAAATGTACTGTAGATGGAGGCTGGTCTATCTCCATGTCCAATGCACATGGCCAGCTTTATGGTTGATTAATGCATATTTTTGGTGCATTTATTAATGAAATTATTTTCCATAAATTAAATGAATTTAGTGGTAGAATGATCTCTATAGAAGCAAGGCTAACTATTTGTCATCGCCACAGTGAGGAGGACGACAGGTTTATTTTTAGTTGATTAAGAAAGATGGAGACAAAATTAATGGCAGAATAAACCAAATAAAACAAGGTATCACGGATTTATGAATGGCGGGGTGTAAAATAGAAAGTAGTTCCCCATGTGCTGGGAGATTAGCAAAAGGGATTAGCGCTGCACAAGGACAAACAGACGACAACCACGCACCACTCCTTCCTTCATTACACCCTCATCTTTATCCTAACATGCCACAAAACCCATTTCTCTCAGGGGGCTGCCTGCTGTGGGTTTAAATTATGGTGGTGTAATAGTATTTAGGTTATTTTGACTCTACACATACATGAAAAATCAGAATCCGACAAAATTCAGGTTGTTTAGATTCAGAATTGATCTAATGACCCAATTAGGAAAAAATACCATTTTCCTCTGCACTTACTCTCTCGAGAAGACCCTGCTTCTGCAGCCTACCTGTGAGACGGTTTGATCATTTCAGGTTTGACCTTCTGAAATGTGAGGATTTTCTGGTTTTCTCTGTTGCTGTAAAATAGAATAAGCTTGGTAAGACTGAGTAAATTAAAGATCTGGGTTAAATCCCTGCCCACGTGTGTCTGTTATGTGTAATCGTGTAAAGTAAGAACAACAACAAAAGAAACTGATCATCTACATGCATTTATTTTTTGGCATTTTATCAGAATTGAAAAAAAGAATAATGTTGTATTCATCTATAAATATTGGGAAGTACACAGATACAGGCAAGAATGGGGAAATAATTTTAGGTTTCCGTTAGATATTTGATTGTCTGTGCAGTTAAAGTAATTTAAAGACCTAGAATAGGTCCCACTCGTTTAAGATCTACGTTGTGTACATATAGATTGTTGTGCCTTGCATTCAACATCACAGGAACACCTTACATAATCTCTCACTAAGGGAATACTGATATTATTCCCTGTCTTGCTTCATCACCTCAAATGTGAGGGTTATCTGGTTTTCTCCAATGTTGTAAACTAACTATTGGACGAGGCTTAGCTCTTGTCTTATTTATTAGTGTGGATACTGATTAAGCTTCCACAGTATTAAGATCCTAATCTTTTTTATTATATTTCTCTTTGTAATATAAATATTCTCTATATTTGATTAGAAGGCTGTATTCTTCCTGCCCTTAACCTCTACAGGTTTGTTTAAATATGTAAATCAAGGCCCTGGATTAGACCTCTACTTATTCTCTTTAGACTAAGAAGATTTGAGTTTGTATTTTGATGACAACAGCAAGATGACTGAGTTTTGACATATGAATGAGAAGAAAATTTCTTTTGTCATACATAGCAGAAGTACCATTAGATGGATTCATAAATTAACAATAATCTCAATGATTGAGCTGCTAACTTAAACAGTATCTCATGCATTGATGTTAAATACTCTGAGGTGCACAGTAACACTCATGGTAGTGCTGGCTGTTGTCCTGTTTCTGTGAGCTGTACAGCTGTTCTTTTTTCCCCATAGTAGAAGCTTGGATGCATTCGACCATACATAAAGACAGCTGCTCGTTTGTAGCAGCAGTTGATGTTTGAGGCTGGATTACCAACCAAGCAAATACCCTGAGGCCTTAAAGGTTTACTATATATCACTTAATTTAATTTGACATATTTTATCTACTTTAATAGCCATCATATGATCTTAAAGGAGAGGACTGGCTCAGTTGTTTTAAGGCAGCTTTAGTTGTTGTTGTTGTTTCTGTAGGTCAAGTAGTGAACACCCAAAAACTTGAAAATAATGACAAACAACAGTTATTTTAAGACTCAATGCCACTGTCAGATATTTTTTTCCCCCTTTCAAATCTACAATCATTTAAAAGGTCAATTATCATATTTCCCTTCTCTTCTCCACCCTGTCCTGCACTCAGAAACCTAAAAATCTCACTCATCAAGGGGTAGTGACGTGTGATTGAGATGTTGTTGCACAGTGTGCATATCCTGTATGTTCCTCTTTTCAAACTCTAATAATGGACATAATTGACAAAATTAACTTGATTTTATTTCAGAATAACCTGAAGCTACTGACTAAACCCGTTAGCTGAGGTTGAAGAATGAAAAAGCCAAAGATTGTTTCCTTAAGTACACAAAGTAACAGTGGTGTTGTCTGTCAGTTGCTCAGCTGGTTGGTTGAGAGAGTTTGACTTGGGAAAAACAGGGGCAGAAGCGATCAGACATGATTAAGGTCCTTTACAATGACCTTAAACACACTTGAGGGCAGTAGCTCTTTTGAATTTAGCTGATTTGTCAGTTAAATCAAAATGAAAGGCTCTGCAAATTTGAAAAGAAAAAGAAAAGTTTTCAAATTTGTTACAGACTTTAGGGTGAAGCATTTAGCTTGCTTTTGGGGACACAATCTTCTCCATCAGCTTCCCACAACAAGATGGTCAAAGTTCAAGTTGCAATATAATAAGATGCAGTAGGCCCCAGTTGTAGACATACTGCATATAAAAGTATGCACCTTTTAAGAGCAGCTGCAGTACTGCATACCAGGAGTGTAACTGTTTATATTCAGTATTGTGTAATAATGAACTCTCTGTTACACTGAATTTCCAGCAGTGTGTCAGAGATCCGTTAAACTGTGTGGCAGGGCGACTGCTTCGATTACATAGTTATCATGTTACACACCTTTAAAAGCCACAGTTATTTTCAACAACAAAGACGTCTATTTTAAACCCAGCAGTGTTGCAGATTGTCTGAAGAGCTGCTGTCCTCACTGATCGAGGACTTTTTAGGGAGTTTTTGCTTGCAGTTCTCACATGATTCTCTTCACTTGTGGTTTTTGACAAACACTCCATTCTTAAGGAATAGAAAAGCTTAGTTCAGCTGGAGCAAAGCAGAAGTCAGATGCCTATGTTCTTTAGTAATAATAACGTTCAGAAAATGATCATTTAAGTACTCCTACATATGGATCTGTTCCTTATCTGTGCTCAAAAATATCACCAGTAGAAATGTGCTTGTAAGTACCCTTAAACTTGAATTATGTCAATTATCAGTTATATCAGTGGTGATAAGTACTGTTAAATATGGATTTTTCATAGCCTGCTTCTGTCTCTTTAAGTTGCTGATTTAGGCGCTGGTACATTTGTCAGTATTATTATAAATATATATTTTATTAACTGCCTTTTGGCAGAGCCTTCAGCTTGTGTGGTGAGAGCTCCCAGTTTGTATTCAGGAGACAGACACCCTCTCTACTTTTATGACTAAGCTTAAAACTTTCCATTTTGATAAAGCGTATTGTTAGGGCTGGATCAGGTGACCCTGAATCCTCTCTTAGTTACACTGCAATAGCTCTAGACTGCTGGTGGCTTCCCATGAACAACACAGACTGTTTCTTTTTCACTCACTATGTGTTTATAGACCACTCTGTATTTAATCATTAGTTATTGGCCAACCTGAGCACGGTTCTGCTGAAGGTTTCTTTGAATTACCGTAAAAGGGTTTTTTCTTCCCATGGTCACTAAAGTGCTGGCTCAAAGGGGGTCATACGATTATTAGAGTTTCCTGTTTTCTTTGTATTATTGTAGGATTTATTTATTGTAAATAAATAAATAAACCTGAATTGAATAGTCAGTCTAGCTCAGTTTGGATTATTAAAGTGGAAGCAGAGATTTTTGAGTGAGACAAGCAAATGTCAACAGTCCAGGACTAGAATTTATTAAAGCCACTTTAAAACTGAGAGAAACATTTTATTTGTGTAATTTGTGTTATTTTTTTTTCTTGCTTTGCTTTGACAGTTTATAGCTAGTGGCAAAGAGAAGTCATTAAATTACACAATTAACATTTATGTCCTTATGACTTTCACTTTTTGGTTATTTAGGATTCAACAAGTGTCAAGTTTGTGTCTCACATTCAAAAGTGAGGGCGTGTAAAATATCTGAAAGTCCAGAATATTACACACACAGCAAACAAACAACAGCCCTTTCTTTTACTATAAAGAAGTATATTCTGAAAGTGTGCACATTTATTAAACATTTCTTTTATAAAAATGATGAACAGCCTATGGCATCTTAAGAAGAATAATTCATCTCAGTTTTTTCCCAATACGAGGAAAAGCTGTTGTAGCAGGTCTTCTTGGGCTTATAGTCTAAGAAATGAATGTAAAATTGCAGGAAAAAGTACTGGAAGCTTTCCACACATTATCCCGTAATAAGCAGGATATTAAAACATTTTTTTATTTTATTTTAAGCTGTAGAATGAGTGCACGAAATTAAAATTCTCTAACATTCAATGGTTAATCTACAGTTGAAAAAAGTAACGTAAAATTTTATTTATATACCACCTTTCAAGAATAAAATCACAAAGTGCTTCACAGAAGCTAAAACATAAAAACAAAAATCAACCAAAAGCAAGTTTAAGAAGATCAGTTTTTAGCTGTTTTTCAAAAGACATGACTGAGTCCACAGGTCTCAGGCTCAATGGGAGAGCGTTCAAAAGTCTGGGGCCACAGTTACAAAAGCTCTGTCACCTTTTGTTTTCA